CTTTGAGGTTTTATTTCAACGTGCTGGAACTCTGGGTTGTGTGGTATGTCTTGCTCCCCAGTTGTGCCTCCTGGTTTATCTGCACACAAATGTGGGACCACCTTGTCTGCCAGCCACTGCATCACCTGCCTTTTTCTTCTAGTCACTGCCTTGCTGCTTGTTCTCTCCACCCCAGCTGCCCCCTCCTACCAGTCTGGATGAATGTTTCTTTAACTCCTTGGTTGTCAGATTTCCATACATTCAATTTTATGGCAGTTCTGGTGGGTTTTTTTGTTTTTAAATTTGTAGTTGTCCTTCTTTTCATTGTGCAAAGAGCAAAGTGTATCTGCCTACACCTCCATCTTCGCCAAAAGTTGCTTTTCATCACTTTGACTATTTCTTGCCAATCCCTTCTGGTCTGCATAGTTTCTGTTGAGAAATCAGCTGACAGTCTTATGGAGCTCATTTATAGAGAACTGCTTTTCTCTTGCTTCTTTTAAGATTCCCTGTCTTTAACCTTTTATAATTATGATGTGTCTTGGTGTGGGCCTCTTTGGACTCATCTTGTTTGGGACTGTCTGTGCTTCCTGGACTTGCATGTCTAGTTCCTTCCCCAAGTTATGGTCACTTTCTGTCATTTTTTTCCATAGGTTTCAATTTCTTGCTTAATATGTTTAGCTGCTCTGATGTTGGGTACATATATATTTATGATGGTTATATGAATTAACCTTTTAACATTATATAATGACTTTCTCTGTCTTTTTACAGCTTTTAGCATAAAGTGTATTTGGTCTAATATATGTAGACCCTGCTCTCTTTCAGTGTCTATGTCATGGAATATCTGTCTCATCCCTTCACTTTGAGTTTATGTGTGTAACCTTGAAGCTGGAGCAAGTCTCTTGGATTACTTTGGTGTCCTTATCAAAGTGTAATGAACATATAAGTTTAAATTTATTTCTGATTTCTTATTCTGTTCCATTAATTTATTTGTTGATCCTTATACCTGTATCACACATTCTTGATTAATGTTGCTTTATAGTAAGTCTTGAAATCAGGTAGTATAAATTTTTCAGTCTGATCTTTTACAAGATTATTCTGGGCCCTTTGTTTCATGTAAACTTTAAAATAGATATGTAATTTTCTACAAAATAGCCTCCTAGGATTATGATTCGGTTTGCACTGAATCAATAGATCAGTTTAAGGACAATTGACACATAAACAATGTTGAGTTTGCCAGTCTGTGAGCATAGTACTTCACTCCAGTTACTTAGGTTTTATAAAATTCCTCTCAGTGGTTCTGAGTATACAAAGCTATTGCATAATTTTTGTAAAATTCCCACATTTTTGTGTTGTTGAATTTTAAATGATCAATTGTAATCATGTATTTTTGTGATATTCAATGTTTTTGAAAGTTGAATTGTATTTTAAGATTTCATTCTCTGAGTTTATGAATAAGGGTTATAGAATACAAGGTCAACACACAAAAAGCAATCATTTTCCTGTATATCAATAATGAATAAATTGTAACTGAAATTTGAAAAAGAATACTATTCACAATAACTTGCCCCCAGCCCCAAATGAATACTTTGGTATATTCCCCTGGCTGGGGTAGCTCAGCTGATTGAGCTTGGTCCTGCGAACCAAAGGGTCATCAGTTTGATTCCCAATCAGGGCACATGCCTGTGTTGTGGCCCAGGTCCCCCATAGGGATGCACGAGAGGCAACTACACATTGATTTTTCTCTCTCTCTTCTTCTTCCCTTCCTCTCTCTCTAAAATTAAATAAAACAAAATAAGTACTTAGGAATAAAGTCACTAAAACATACAGGATCTGCCCTGACTGGTGTGGCTCAGTTAGTTGGTTGGAGCATCATACCATAACCAAAGAGTTGCAGGTTCTATTCCCAGTCAGGGCACATACCTACATTGTGGATTTGGTCCCTGGTCTGGGCATGTATGATCCCCAGTCTTGGTGCATGCAATCTGTGGTCTGGGAGTGTATGGGAGGCAACTGATCAATGTTTCTCTCCATTCCTTTCTCCCTTCCTCTCTCTCTGAAAGCAGTGAAAAAAAGTCTTCCAGTGAGAAATTAAAAAAAAAAAACAACTAGATCTATATACTGAAGACTGTAAAGTGCTGTTAAAAGAAACTCAAGAAGACCAAAGCAAATGGAGAGACATATGCTGTTTGTGGATTGGGAGACTCAGTATAGTAGTGATGTCACTTTTTCAAAAGTGATCTATAGATTTATTGTAATAGCAATCAAGGTACTAGCAGTATATTTTTGTAGGTATAGACAGCTAATCCTATAATTTGCATGTCAGGACCCAGGAACTGAAATAATTAAAAGAAATTTGAAAAAGAAGAACAAAGTTGGAAGAATTACTTTAATATCAAGATTTAGTAATCAAGACACCATGGTATTGGAGAGATCAATGGAATGGGATAGACAGTCCTGAAGTAGATCACATGAATACATCAGTTAGTTCTGACAAAGGTGCAAAATCAATTCATGGAGAAAGGATAGTCTTTTCAACGAATTGGTCTGTAGTAATTTGTCATTCATATGTAAAAAAGAAAAAGGAACTTAATTTAAACCTCCCATCCCATACAAAGATTAACTTGAAAGGGTCCTAGATGCAAATGTAAAACATAAAGATATAAACCTTTTAGAAGAAATAATAGGGAAAAATCTTTATGACCTGGGGTTAGAAGTGATGCCAAAAGCACAATATATAACAGAAAAAAAATCAATAAACTGGACTTCATCAAACTCAGAAATTTTTGCTCTGCCAAAAACACTGTCAAGAGATTCAAGAGAGAAGCTATATACTGGGAGAAAATATTTGCAATTCACATATTTGACAAAGGACTTGTATCTAGATTATATAAACAACTCTTAAAGCTGAAGAATTCTCAAAACTCTAACAACTCAAAAATGGTCAAAAGACTTGAATAGATACTTCACCAAAGAGCATATAAGGATGGCAAACATGTGAGAAAATATTCAATATCATTAGCCAGTGGGCAAGTTAAAATTAAAACCATGATCACATACCACTATACACGTATTATAATTGCTAAAACAGAAAATGGTGGTAACACCAAGTACTGGCAACTGGAACTCTCATGCATTCTGTACTCATGCACTCTCCCACTCTGAAAAAGCATTTTGTAGTTTCTTATGACATTATACATACACTTACGAGTCCCACTCTAAATATCTGCCTTCCTGAGATGAAAGCTTATGTTTACTCAGAAATCTATACCCAAATGTTCACAGCAGTTTTATGTGATAGCAAAAACTGGAAACAACCCAAATGTCCTTCAAAGGAAGAATACGTAAATTATGGTACATTCGCACAGTACAGTGGCATAGTACTTAGCAATAAAAAGGAATGATACACACGATAACTTGGATAAACTTCAAAGACATTATACTGAGTTAGGTCAGTGTCAAAAGGTTATGTACTGCATGATTCCTTTTATTTCACATTCTTGGAAAGACCAGTAGTTGTCAGGGATTTTGCATGAGGTAAGGGTTTGTAATATCAATGAGTAGTATCAGAGAGTTTTTTCTTGTTGGAAACCTAATGTACCCTTTTTGTGGTGGTAGTTACATAAATCTATACATGTGTTAAAATTTATAGAACTGCTCACTAAAATAAAGTGAATAAAATTTGTATTCTCTACTATATGAGAATAAAAAATAAAATTCTTTTTAATATGTTTAACTTCATTCTGTTTTATGAATATTCGTATGTGACCTTGTTTTTGTTTGGTTTTGGTGCTTGTCCCCTTTCAATGTGGTCCACCAATCCATAGAAGCTTTTGGGAGTCAGGTGGTTAGTGGAGTTGTAGCTCAAGTCCATCTCAATAGTAGATACACTGGATCCCTGAATCCACTCTGTGGTCATTTGTTCAGTTCCATAATGCGTAATTGGGAGATACATACTCAGCAATTGGTAGAACCCCATATTTATTTTCTGTATTTGCTAACTCATTTGCTGTTCATCAGTTTACCTTTCAGCTTACAAATTTTATTGCCATTACCTCTTCCCTTTTGTTTATTCTGTCCTTCTGTGTCTATGTCTTAAATTTTTTTGTTTTAGTAGAATTCCAGTAGGGAATGAGTTTTCAACTGTATCTTTTTTTGGCCATGTGCATAAAAGCCCTAAAAGGGCATTAGTCTGATCTGTCTTGTTCTTTGCTGGTATGATCACATTTACAGCAGAATCTGGCCTGTAGTAGATAGATCTCAAGGACTGTTGGATGGGTGGGTAGGAGGGCGGATGAATAAATGACTTCTGGGCTGACTCTTATTAGCATGTTGGTTTTTGTGGGGCTTCTCAGGATTGAGCTTTTATACAGAATTTTTCCGACTTTGATTCTACCTAAGAATGCCTTTCACCTCACTAACAAATCTGTGTTATGGCTGAAAATTTTATTTCCTAAGTAGCATATTGTTAATCTTCTTTTCTTGCGTTTTATCCAGAAGTTACACTGTAAGCCATATTTTGTACAGGAGCCTAGATGAGACTTTGGTAGAAGACTGACCAGTGCACTTTTTTCATCTCCCAGACCTGACTGAGTATGGTGCTTTCTCTCAATCAAGGAAGATTGAACTAGAAATGGAGTTCACGATGGCTTTACCTCTCAGTATTAGGAGTTGGCTTTTGCTTTCCTACTTGCTCCTAATCAGTCTTTTACTTTTTAACATCATTTTCTGGTAGCCACTGATCCCTTAAAACTGAAGGTGAGATTGAGGCAATGATAGGCTGGGATGTGTCAGTTTCATTTCATCATCTTCAGAAAGGAGTTGAGAGATTACATAACGTGAAGCTTCCTTTGTCTAGTCACCAGCTATAAATGTGATACCTTCCAGTCTGCCCGTCATTGAATCATATGGTACTTAAGTCTTAATGGTTTAATTATGTTTCTTTTTAATATCTGTTGAAGATGAACCCAGGAAATGACTCCTTTGCCTTTTTGTTTCTTTTTTCTCCATTTTGTACAACTCAGGAAGTTCATCAAGAACGAATTGCATTGGAAAACCAATTGGAACAACTTCGTCCAGTCACCGTGTTGTGATGCGCAAGACCCAAGTAACAGTGGGTGACCTTTTGTGCCAAGATCTTTCCTTCAACTATTTCAATCCAACTACATGTCATAGATGTCTGACTGTGTCAAAAAGCTGTGAGCAGTGGATTAGAATCCATGCCACCTTTTCTTTCATACTTGTATGTTTTACTGGATGGAAAAATACAACTGATTATCACACTTGAAATTGTAATCATCAGTGGAATTTCTCTCTACTTCTTCAATATTTCCTTGAGGTGTTAGATGTTGCTCCTTACCAAAAATCAATCTTTTATCAAATAATTTAGAGCATTATTTATTTAAAGAATTTATGGTTTATCCGAAACCTCATAACCCAGTATGTTCAGGATGCTTGTTTTATTTTTGTTATGTATATCGCGTACAGTATGTTGGTTTCCTGAATAATTGAAATTGTAACTGGATAGTTTTTGGCATGACAATAATAAAACAAAAACTAAAATAAAACAAAAGCATCAGATTTAGACTGGCTCTGTGCCCTCCACCACCATATACCAAAAATTGCTTCTTTAGTGCCATTTTGATATTATATTTATCGATAAATAATACATGACTCTTGTTTTCTACTGAGTGTCCAAGATTTACTGGATATTCACACCTCTGGAAAGTGGAAGTTCTGTCAGTGATCTGTTCAACTTAGCCCAGTTAGGTCATCAACCCAGATAACTCAGTTCTTTTGTGTAAATTTTTTTGGCAAGAACAATGTGCTTTAACTGCCTTGCCTGATCCAATTAAATAAATAGTTGCCAGATCTCTACTATTATCCTCTATGGGATAACCCATCTGAAATGCATGAATTTGGAAACTGCCCATCAAATATGAAAGGCTTATGAGACTGTTTGGATTGATAAACATTTGTTGTTTGAACCCAGGTTATTCAAACTGGGGACAAAGAGCGAAAATGGTTGTTACCAACCATTCAACAATCTCTGGTAATTATTTTTGTCTTTGTTATATTATCTTGGGCTGTGAGTGTATTGGATATGAAATAATAAAGGCAATTCTGAAACAGGGTATATAGCTATTTGGTTCTGTGTGAAGTGTACCCTTGGGAAGTGATTGGTTTATGTGCCACCCAGAGGGGCCCAGCTGACTCCAGTGTAAGTGATGTAAAACAGTGAGCTCAAATTGCAGAAGCCAGTATCCTATAGAAATTTGGATAGCTGCTGCTTCACCTGAAAGCTCAAGTTGAAAATGGGAATTGAGCAACCCTCACAGGGATCAGGGCATGCCAATTTTAACATTACTTTGAGAGACTGATGGCAAAAATGCTGTCTCTTAAGCATTTTGCTACTTTATACTTTTTTAGGGTAGAGGGGTGGGATGTGTCTAGGGTCCTTTTTGAAGTGGTTTGGATAGGTTTGCAGCATGTCAGATTAAATCTTTGATTTCAACAGAGTTGACAGCTTCTAGAAAAGTAGGCGTTTATTTAATGCTTCCTCATTCCATTGGCAAGTTTTATCAATAGCTTAATGGCAGAAAAGAAAGGCTCAAACAGATGATGTTTTTCCAGAGAAAAACAAATTTTCGATTCTGTTCTGTGCATATTAAAGGCTTTTGAATTGGCTTGGTTTTGAACATCAGAAATCTTGAACTTTTCTCTGTTCATACCTTCTTCCTTCCTTCCCCTTTGGCTGCCTTTTTTCCCCCCTTTAATCCCTGTACGAAGGGTTCAGAATCAGTTTAAACCCTTCCTAAGGTCATGAATGGGTCAGTGTAAAGTTAACCTCTTTTCCCATATTCTGAGATCTGGGAGCTGTAACCAATTTTATCAACAGTGTCCTTGTGGCAGGCATTTCACAGCATGTTTGCCTTTTGTTACATTCAATCCAGGAAAGGCTAGCATGTGTACTTTATCCCATAATCTTCCAGTACATATACACTCACTCCAGATAACACTTCATGTCCATTAAGCAGACATATAAACTAAGCAATGTTAGTATATATTATGGATTTTAAAAATACTGACATTTCCCTCATCAAGTCAATGCCAAAGTAAGCCAAATTAGATTAGGATTTTGTTTAGTTGCTTTGATTTTTATTAAAGGAAAAAATCTCCCATCAGACAATCAAAGCTCCATGAATTGCATAGTGTCACCAATATTTTAAGAGGCATTGCATTAAAGCACATACCAATAATATCTATACCCAGCCTTCTTGACTGGATTTCTAGTTACCACAATTTATTAGTTATTTAGAAGTGGATTCTTAAAAAAGCATTAAATACAAACACGTAGATGTACATACACTTATACATATTATTATTACCTAACTAGTGTTCATCCTCTCCTTTTCTCTGTTTTCTTAGGATATGCAATCTCAGTTTAGGATTATAACTCCTGATAATGCTTCTGTGAGCCTTTAATGTAATTTATGGGAGGGGTGGGCTATTGAAATTACCATTATATCTCTTCTAGAAAACTACTCCAAAATTAGACCTGCTTGCTGGGCAGAGTTCTGTGGACAAAAGGACAGTGTTGCTTCCATCCATAGGGATTTAATAACCTTGTTGTTAAGTGGTCTTCCTCCACAGGGGTCTTGTAGTTCCAAGAATGAAAGTACAGTAGGAGTTGATAGTGTCTCTTATATGTGGCATATTGTTTTTGCCACCTCCCTAGTCAGCAGACATGGAGCAAATCCAAAAGGTATATATCTGGAGTGGATGTATGCGCTGTCATCAATGCAGATACTTGCTTTAGTTGGAAGGATTTAACTGCTTTATTAATATTAGAGAAGTGCTTTGGGCCTGATTGGAAGAGGAGAAAGGTTAGCTGGCAGCTATCCCCATTTTAATTTCATTAGAGAATAGGATGTCCAGGCTGAGAAGACTGGTACTTATCTATTGGCTGTTTAATTACAGGGAAACCAAGGCCTGGAGAAACCACAGGTCCTAGCCCAAGAATCCATGGGAAGAAGTAATTAGTGGCAGAGTTTGGATGCCAGGCTGATTTTATGGATTCTAGGCTAACTCCTTGAGCCTCTAGCAAATAGATTAGAAGGGTTTCTTCTATGTTAAATTTCATTTACTTAATGAATCTGTCTGAAATTATGAAAACATGTTTTAATGACTATTAGATCTAGATATGTCTTGTGGATTGAAGCAAAAGGTAAAATCTTAAGGGAAGGAATATGGTTGAACTATTTGTTCTTCTGGATGCCTCACCTTTCATGATGCGATAAGTTATTCTGAGTTTCTTGGCAGAACTTTTGAGAGCTGTTGCTTTGAATGGATTCCATTCCTGTATTCCTCATGGGAGTTTGTTTTTAAAATAGACTAGAAATGAACTCAATATGTAGTAAGTTAGTTTTCTTCAGTGTATCTTTGGTTACTTGGGTTGCAAATGTTCAATTTCAGCATACTTTATGGTGAGTAATCAAAAACATGAGTTTTCCTTTGATTTTCTACCAATCTCTGAATTCTCGTAAAGCATCCTTCTCTTCATATATGACTTGATTCTATAGTCTGTTTCTAAGTGATATTGTCTAGTTCTCAAATAATCTCACACCCATGGTGATAATAGATGTATATTCAGAAGATCAATAAGAAAATAATCTGAAATGGATGTGTTCTTTGCGATTAAGACAAGCTTTTGCAAAGGTCTTCTAAGCAGCAGTTTGAAATATCTCAATTACTGTATAACACCTTAGAGCTAAAAACATTTGCTCAACACAAACTAAAATCACACCTCCTGGCTAGATATCACCAAGGGACTGTGATTTTAAATATATAGAAAAAAGAATTTCAAATATCTGAGCAACCAGGTCTTCCCATATTGAGAAATAGGACTCAGAGGTAACCTTGAAAATTATGCATATGAACAAAGTGAAATATATCATTGAAGAGGCCTTTTTCTACTCTAGTTAAATACAACAGTAGTAACTTTGGTTTCTCTTTCCAAATTGGTTTATTCCATTTTAGGTGTGCTCTTTTAAAACTATGATCAAAGGATCACTTGAATTTACACTTCAGTTATTGGCATTCTGTTAGGGCTTTTTTTTTTTTTTTTTTTTTTTTTTTTGCTTCATGACTCAGTGTGGGAAGAAGAAGGGATTTGAGTTTTTGGAGTTCTGAGCTGGCATATCTTGTTTCTCCTTTGGCACAGGCTAAGAGAGACTGCCCACCAATGCCAACATATCAGTTATTGATGGATATTTGAGCGGGAGTCTTACTATGTAAACCACCCTGCTTTGCTTGTTTGCATTAAGAAATGCATCTAGTTGTGACCCTCCTAGGAGCAACTGTAAGAATAGCAGATATGGAGGGCCAGACATTAAAAGTAGTACAAGCAGATTCTAAGAGCTGCTTACCTTCTCAAAATTCAGAAGCTGCCTTATAAGCATGCCCTGAAACGGCCAGTCTGTGAATGTGAGCAAGACATTCCAGGTAAGTAGTTGCTTTTAGGCTTCTGTAGCTATTTTCTTCATTGACTAACACACATGATGTTAATGGAACCTTTTCTAAAAGGCATTGTAGGGTTTCAATTGAGAGGACTTGTTCTAGTTATAGAAACCTTGCTCTGCTTTTAACAATTTGAGGTGTTTATTTTTCATGTTTTTTGAGTTCTCCTATCTTGCTCTAAACTAACTTCATGACGGTGTGAGGTTGAAGACAGTGGGTTTATAACACTGAAGACCGGAGGACACTGACTTGAATTGGAATTTGGCTACTACAATAAGGAAACCTTCAGGTAGCAGGTCCATCCTAAAGCTCCTTCAGGGAGCTGCACCCTGGCCGTGGAACAGTTGATGCAATAACACATTGTATGATGTTTGGATCGACTGAGTTGTGTTGTTTTTGTTTTAAGGCAACTTTAGCTGCACACATGTTAGGAACTGGGTATCCCTTTTCCTTCAGCACTGCTATTCTTTTGTTTCTTCAGCATAAATATGTTCAAGTGAGCTGCAGGTGGGAAAGCCATTTTAGTTTTTGTAAAAGTGGGCCAGGAGAGATAATGAACTGATGGTCTATTTTAATCTTGAAAGTAAAAATGTATATTTTTTCATGACAGGTACTTTGAAGAGTAAAACAAGTAACCACAAAGTATATACTTGATGCCTTCTGTCTTTTCATGATTATATGCTAATAATTTGTGTTAATATTTTACTCAGAGTCTCATTCATTTGCTAAGTATAGAGAACATCATGTATATTGATCTTAAATATAAATAAATATAAGGTATCCTGTACTTGGATTGTAACTTGTAGACTCAAGCTAACCTTATCGCCTCTTTTTCACACTTGTTGAAAAGTCTGTGAAGAACATAGTAGGTTAAAAATATTCAAATTTGGAAAATGTACACGATATGTAACTAAAGTTATATGTTAAAAATAAATGTATGATCACTAACTGGATTTTATAGAGGGTTTTTTTTTGAGGTGGTACCAAATTACTTTATTTGAAGGAATGGTACAAATGGAGGACATAAGTGGATGATTTGGTGCAAGTTACAGAAAAGGTAAAGGTCACTCTGACATGCATGTACTGCTTTGGTGATAGGGAAGTACCCCCTGTGGCCGTGGGAAGGCAGCCTGAGGCTCAGCTTTCCTTACTGTTTCCCAGGGTGTGCTTGTCAAAGAGAGGCTCCACCACGCCAGACTCAGGAGCTTCCAATCTGCACAAGTTGTTTATGTGGTCACCCAGTTCTTTGATGGATTTTACCTGCTCATCCAGGTAGTGAGTCTCAAGGAAGTCACACAAATGAGGGTCATTTTTTCAATGGCTAATTTGTGTAAGTCCAGCAGTGACTGACTCCAAGTATAATGTATACTGCCATTGCATTTAGTCCATTCTCCCAGTCATCACGGTCTGGTTTCTTGATATCTTGAAGAAAGATTTGACCACCTTATTGGTTCTGCAGCTTCATTAGTTTCTCAGTATATTCCCTTTCCTCATGAAATTGGTGAAGAAAATACTTGGCAAAGTTCTTCAAAGCCCAATCATTGCTGTCAAAGTAGTAAGACACGAACAGGTAGACATAGGAAGCATAGAGCTCCAGGTTGATCTTGTGGTTGATGGCAGCCTCTGGGTCCTGGTGGCAGTTCTGGTGGACCCGTGAGGTGGACATGGTTGTCATGATGGGTGGCTGAGGACAGGTGGCCTGATGGTGCTGGAGCAGTGTCAGGAGGCATTGGGATGGTCTGAGGGTACTGTGAGGAGGTAGCAGAAGAATGGATCTATGTGGCTGCCTGGGATGGGGGTCAAGCACCAGGTTCCATTCAAGCACTGTTGAAGCAGGAAACCATGGCAACTCTCACTGAATACTGTCACTTTTATGGAGTCATTTTTATTGGAATTTTTTAAATTATATTTTATGGATTATACTATTACCGTTGTCCCGATTTTCCCCCATGACCACCTCTACCCAGCACCCCCCCATTCCCTCAGGCAATACCCCCACCATTGTTCATGTATGTCCATAGGTCATGTGTGTAAGTTCTTTGGGTACTCTGTTTCCTATACTGTACTTTACATCCCCATGATTATTCTGTAACTACCTATTTGTACTTCTTAATCCCCTCCCTCTTCACCATTCTCCCACACAGCCTACCATCTGGCATCAAGATGCTCTCCATATCCATGATTCTGTCTCTGTTCTTATTTGCTTATTTGTTTTTTAGGTTCAGTTGTTGATAGATACGTATTTATTGCCATTTTATTGCCCATAGTTTTGGTCATTTTCTTAGACAAGTTCTTTTACCATTTCATATAACAATTTGGTGATGGTGAACTCCTTTAGTTTTTTCTTGTTTGAGAAACTCTTTATCTGCCCTTCTATTGTAAATGATACCTTTACTGTGTAGAGCGATCTTGGCTATAGGTCCCTGCTTTTCATGACTTTGAATACTTCTTGCCAGTCCCTTCTAGCCTGCAAAGTTTTTTTTTTTTTTTTTTTTTTGAGAAATCAGCTGACAGCCTTATGGGAACTCTCCTATAGGTAACTGTTTTTCTCTTGCTGCTTTTAAGATTCTCTCTTTATCTTTAACCTTTGGTATTTGTGATTTTTATGTGCTTGTGCAAGGAGGCAAGCTGTTTTATTTATGTTACCATCTTGACTAGATGTCAGGAGTCTTGATGTCAGTATATTTGTGGTTCATATTTTGGTCTCATACATTTAATGCAAGTGATGTGAAAAGGAGTTGGAGGCCTTCCCAGTTAAAGTTTAGATGTAGTTATTTTCACCTTCCTGGTGATCTAAGTCCTTAAATACTTTTACACAGTAAACACTAGGCATTCGTGGGAAATCATGGCTAATTTACAGGGCATTTTAAAGATCCCACTGAATTGAAAACTTAATGTAGGGTCAGGTTATTTGCTTCATCTTGTTAGTGTTCTTTTAAAAAATTGTATTAAATTTATTGGGGTAACATTGATTATAATTTCTTTTCACAGAAGTGACACAGATCCCTTGTCTGGATATTTCACTTCTGGAACTCAGTCATATGACAACAGTTTACTCCAAGGAAGACTGGGAAATGTAGTTCAGGTGAACTCTGGAGGAAAAAGTTGTGAGTACAGAGTCTACCAGAAGACACAAAGCCAGTTTGCTCTGAGAACACACAGGAGAGACATTTAATTTTAGATTGCAGCAATCTAGGAAGGCTTCATAGGAGAGTCTTAAAAGAGGGGATAGGCATTAACTAAGAGGAGAAGGGTGTTCCAAGTAGAGGATGCTGTGCATGCTAAAGGTAAGGCAGGGTTAGAGCGTGGTGTATTCTGGGAACTACAAAAGATTGTCCTGTAGACAGAATGGGCGGATGTGGAGTGTAGAGTGAAATTGGTAAAAGTTGTACACAAGAGTGGATGGAAAGGCCTTGCATGTCATGAGAAGGCATAAAGGACCCTGAAATTAAAGCCCTATTTATGATTTAAGTACAAATTCGTGAAGTTACTTCTTTCATTTTCAAGGAATGATTTGTGTTCTCAATTTTTTCCTACCCCTAGAAAGAAAATACTTCACCAGGAGACTGTAGACTAGTGTTCCTAACACAGACTCAGCCTGTCTGGTTGATTTGTTACACATCTCCTGGTGTCTGCTTGGAGAAAGGTCCAATGCCCAGAGCACAAGGGATTAAACTCTGGTAGGCAGGAGTCCTATTAGATGATGTGAGACTTTTTCCATCCTTAGCTCCTTTGTTTTAGGGGAGATATCAGGGCCCCAAGATGACCAAGAGGTACAAAGATCCTTTTTTTTTTTTTTTTTTTTGGCATGGAGGCTTATCAAAGTATAGAGTTTGGAAATTATGTTGAAATATCCAATTCCTTTTGAACAAGAGTCAGTTGAGCTTATTTAACAATTCTGAAATATCCTCAAGCCTTGGGGCAAAAGTGCTCCCAGCGTAGCATCTCCATGGCAAACTTCAACTTCAAAGAGTCATATCGTTTTTCAAATATGAGGTATTCTGGAAGTGTGAACATTTGCAGGCATCTGTGTGGGTTTCCCCTGATTGCATTCTTCTTCCAAACATGAACTAAAAAGCATTTTTATCTTTGTAACCCAGATATATCTTCCTTTATTTGCCCCAAAATCCTCTTAACTGATTTAACATAGAAACTTGTAAAATTTTCAAGATTCACCTGTGAGTAAAAGCAGGTCCTCAAATGACATCATTCCATTATAATTTTTTTGAGATGCCGTAGGAATTTAACCCTTGTTTACACTGATTGGCCTGTGGTACAATTTGTTTTGTTATACATTGTTTCACTCAGTCAGTCACAGAACCTATCGACAGTGTTATGTAAGGACTTCATCTCTAGCATCATAAGCAAAAGCAACATCAGAAGACAAATACATGTATATATGTGTGTACATATGTAATATTTGTCTTGCTGGTATTGCTTATGCTTATGTTATAAATATACATAGTAGGGCAAAAGTAAGTTTACAGTTGTATGGAAAATAATACATAATAAAACAAGAATAAACTCTGTGTTTCACATACTCACAACTGTAAACCGACTTATACCCCATCCTGTACATATAGAAATTATTTACATGCATGCATTTAAAACAATACAGTAATTGTTTAGAACATAGACCAACAGAATTTTGTTGTGGGGAACATTTTATCACTAACCAATATCTAAATAATTTTAAAATTACTGATGTATGGTAATAATAAGAGCAGACTGACCTTGAGTCAGTTTTATTGTTTTAAAATTTTCCTATAGAGAATACAGCCATTATTCTTGTGCCTGGGATGGACCACTCCTATCCTTGGTGCAGAGCACATGCCTTCACTTCTGTGTAGACTTAATCAAAGCTACAAGGCTGAAGGAAAGCCAAGGGGAAGAAAGATAATGCTTGGGGAATTAAATACAGACACAGAGAATCATGATGCAGGACCTTTGAAATGCAAATGAAATTGGCCTGAACCTCAACCCATGTGTGATGAGAGCCTGCATCTCAATCTTTCTGAGAGGCAGAGGTAATGGTGGAAGAACTGATGTTTTTATCTTAGTCACTTCTGGCTCTGGTATGCTTCCTAGGAATTAGTTTGGCAAATGGACCGTCTATTTCCTCCCCAACATTATTTACAGGAGGTATTCGTGTGTATCTGTATGGAGAAGGGAGTGAAATGGGAAGGGGGCAGAATACACAGAATACTCAGTGAGAGGGAACTTGTAAGTAACTTATCACCAGGGTCACCACATTGCATAGCTCCATGGGACATTGTTCATGTGTTCTGTACAAAAGATGCCACTTGGGGTTTTTGATACCTCCTTCCCATTTATAGCTTCATGCTGCATGGTCCACTCTGTCTCTGTCAGTGTTCCTCCTTGGCCTCTTTATAGCTCTGCTATTGTTCTTCTGCTGGCTGAGAGAAGGGGGCAGGTGAGAACCTTGGCAATCCTGCCAGTGTTTGTTACCCAGTGCCTATACCCCCAGTGCAGATCTCTCTTCTACCCTTCCTGTTTCTACTCTAGGTCTAGGCCTAGAGTAGACCTCAAGTAGAATAGACCTAGAGTTGAGTAGTTCTCAACCTGGTGCAATTCTACCACCCCTGTCACCAGGGACTATTTGGCAATGTTTACATTTTCAGTTGTCACAACCTGCAGGGACATCTAATGGGTGGAGGCCAGGGATGCTGCTAAATGTCCTACAGTACACAGGACAGCCCTCCCAAAAAGAATGATCTCACCCCAAATGTCACTAGTGTTGAGGTACAGAAATACACTCTAAAGGAGCCTCTCAGTTGTCCCTCCATTCCCCTCAATTATCCAGAGCAATGTAGCCCTCTCCTCACCACTACCAGACACACCTCTTCACAGGATCAAAGCCACATTAACAGACTCTGCTAAATAAGCCCACTAATTCAAATTCCTTCAAGGTTCAAGCA